AGGAGCTAACCAGTCTCAAAATTGATTTAAGTTACAAATAATAGTATCAATATTTATATACTTTAATATATGTATATTAAAAACATCATAATCAATCTAATGATACTTAACTTATTAAGCATCTTAAATATTATTATTTTTTATATATTTAGTCAAACTTGAGATTAATTTATCCCTCAAAGATGAGATTTAATTCTTTTTTGGACAGAAAGGAATAGATAATCTCACAAAGACGTTCGACGCCCAATCTGAATGCGATAGTATGCGCTGGCCCAGCATACAACTGTCAAATCAAACACCACCACCAGTGTCCCGAGGCCATCTCTGTAACCATAATGGTAGTATGGCACGGCCTATCTGTGGACTATGCAAAGTTGTGGCCGCAGGAGCTCATGCCGGTTGGTACTTAGGGATGGTTATGATGACCAACTGAATGCTTCCTAGAGAGACGAATAACGAAATCAGGTGTGATCATGCGTGCATGATAAAATCATGCGCATCCTCCAACGAAGTTTTTTCCTAAGTATTCTCCAGCGAAACTAAGGCCCCGTTCGCTTCGCTGAAAACAAGTCGAAACACTGTTTCAACTGATTTATTGTGAGAAAAAACATGTTCCGACTGAAAAAACAAGCTGAAAAAGACAGATTATAAGATAAGCGAACAGGGCCTAAGATCGACTTGGAACGCCAGCCCAGCAATCAGATTCATATATTTTATTCTAGATTCACCTTCAAGCACTCGGTAGAGGTGCGAGGTACATATCACCACATGCGTAACATAGTTTGGAAATTGGAAACACGGTTGAGTGATATAGGAAGTGAAAAGGGCGTGAGAGTAACAATAAGCGTATCCGTACAGTAGAATCGCAGGTACTGCGTATATTGACAAAAACAAGGACAGTTTTGAACTCCAAGACTTATCCTTGGGGTTTGCTAGCTATAGAATATTCTGGGTAGGATAGTTGTTTTGTTTATATCGCAGATCCATATGCACCAACTGGTACTTACTGGCGCGAGCACCGTGCACTACAAGCATAAATAATAGCACCACTACGGAAAGCGCAATCTCTAAAATACGATAGTCACAGAGAAATGTGCTCGGTACGTTTCAAACAGTCATCATTTACTTTGCATTGCTGCACTGAACAAAGTGGATATATATATATATATATATATATATATATATATATATATATACACACACACAAACGGTGACTAGGATCCTCGAAAAGAAGAAGGAAACGGTGACTAGGATAAGCTCGGAGAAATGTGCTCAATAACAGCGTGTTCGGCTGGTCACCTTATGGTTTGTTTCAGCTTATTCTCTCTTACAGAACACTATTGAATCATCCGAAATCCAATGTGCAGTCTACCAGCCAAACACGCTGTAAGTTTTAGCAAGTCATCATTTAATTTGTAGTGTTGCACTGAACATTGGAGTATGTGGCATAGCAAGGGGACGAGGACGATTACACTCATAAAAAAATGAGCACAAGAATGTGACAACCTGAACTTAATTTAAGGATAGTGTAAAAAGAGCACATCATCTGTCAGATGAGCCAAAGAGAAGAAAGCAACATACACTAACCTGCCGTATGAAGTAGAAGTCGAAATCAACATCCATGCTCAACCATTTATCCTTTGCCCAATAGCCCCGTATCTAAGGATCTCATCTGCCACCTGCGTACTCAGGGGAAAAACATTGAAAGTCATGACACAGTCAGACCTATTTGATCATGATTCATGATGATTTGTTTCCACAAAAAAAATGTCCGGTTTCATGCAAGAGATAGCACATAATCAAATGAGTAAATTGCACGGCCGGTCCTTAAAGTATTGGGCTGATTTCGTCTGGGTCCCCAAACTATGAAATCGCACTCTTGGCTCCCCAATCTACTTAATTCGGTCCATGTAGGTCCTAAACAGCCCAGGCGGTGTCAAGCAGTCGACGTGGCTGTCCACGTACGCACGTGAGGCTTCGCCCGTCCACATGCACTCCGCTCGCCCGCGCACAGCCCGCCCGCCCCCATGCGCTTCGCCTGCGCTTCGCTCGCATGGGCTCCGCCCTGCTCGCCCGCCCGCATGCGCTGTCGTACGCGCTCGCCCGCGCTATGCTCACATGCGCCATTTTCTTCTTCTGCAACGGCGAGCGCCCGCAGCCTCTTCTGCTACGGCATGGCCCCGGCGGCGCGGCCCCTCACGCGGACGGATGCAGCAGGCGCAACGCCGCCGAGCTCGCCTCCTGGACCCTCTCCGCCGCCGAGCTCGCCTCGGAGAAGTACTTGACGTTCGACAGCCCGGACCCCAGAGCTCTGCATGGTTTCGTTGATGGCGCCGTCATCACATCATCATCTAGGACTAGGAGTAACATGCAACAGAGCAGACTGATGATAAAATCACGGTCACGTATAGGCCACCGACAACAATGGCAGCGGAGACGGCGAAGACAGTGCCGCCCTGGTATCCGTGGTACATGACGAAGCGGCTGCCGTACCAGACGTTGAACGCCCAGATGGTGAAGGTGATGCCGTTGCTGCTTGGCGGAACTTTGCAGCTTGGCGGAGGGCGGCACGCCGCCGCGGTTCCTGATCATCGATGACGGGTGGCAGCAGATCGGCGGCGAGAGCAAGGAGGAGTCTAACAACGCCGTCGTCCAGGAAGGGGCGCAGTACGTGTGACTGCCGTCTTTATCTTATTGTGTGCCAGCTCTGCTCCGGTGAACAAGCGAAGCTCAATTTGGTCTCCAATGGTGCTTGTCGTACAGGTTTGCCAGCAGGCTGACGGGGATCAAGGAGAACGCCAAGTTCCAGAAGAAGGAAAAGAAGACGACCGACGACGACAAGGACGGCGGCGAGCAGCAGTCCCAGGTGCTGGGGCTGAAGCAGCTGGTGGAGGAGGCGAAGCGGGATCACGGCGTGAAGTACGTGTACGTGTGGCACGCCATGGCGGGATACTCGGGTGGCGTGAAGCCGGCGGCGAAGGGATGGAGCACTACGAGAGCGTTATTTGGCGCACCGGTGCGATCGTCGGGGTGATGGGCAACCACCGGACATCGTCATGGACTCGCTCTCCGTCGGGTGGGTCATTTGGTGCACCCGCGCAGGTGCTCGGCTTCACGACGAGCTACACTCGTACCTCGCCTCTGCTGGCGTGGACGGCGTCAAGGTGGACGTGCGAACATCATCGATCGGCGCCGCCGGCGCCGGCGCGGCGGCCGCGTCGCGCTCACCCGCGATACCACGCGCGCTTGAGGCCTCGGTGGCACGCAACTTCCCCGACAACGGATGCATCTCTCGCATGTGCCATAACACCGACATGCTCTATAATGGCGCATGATGCATCATTGTCGTCGCGCGCCTCGACGATTTCTACCGCGCGACCCGGCGTCAAGACACCGCCCACGCGTCTCCTCCGTCGCCTACAACACCCTCTTGACGATAGCGCCACCGACGCGAGCGTGGCCACTGTCTCCAGGATGGCACCGGTGTTCCCGCGGCCGCCATCGCCGGCTCAGACTGGGAGGTCGGAAGCCGGTTCGCAGACGGGAGCGGCCCGCAGCGCGATCTGCAGCATCACGATCACGCGACGACTACGGCGAAGCGGAAGGGCTTCAAAGATCCGGCCGGGCTCGCCACGGAGGTGAGCGGCGTGGCCTCGGCGCCACGGCGCGCGGGGCCGACGAAGGCTTCACCGCGAAGGCCTCCCCATCCATCGCACCTCCTTGAGGTTGCCCACCACCGCCTCCGGACGTGGAAGTCGCCTGCAGAGAACACGGACGCGGGTGCACCTTCCCCCAGCGACGCGATGGGGAGGTCGTAGTCCTTGGCGAGCAGCAGCCCGCCGCCGGGCGAAGCTCGTCCGGGTCGGACCCGTGACCTCCGAGACAATCTCGACGCCTCCAAAGACCACGGCGACGCTCCAGAAAGCGGTCGTGCATGTGTTGCTCCACGTAGTCGGCGCGGCGCGTGGCAGCGGCGGTGCATGCGGCGCCCACAAAGACCACGGAGAGCGAGGACGACTCGACGGACGCCCGCACACGCGCCGCAACATGGCCTCACCCGTGCTCGCGCTGGGGCGCCCGTGCCGGGGCTCGCCACGCAGGGCTGCGCGAGGGGCCGCTCCGCCATAGCCACGCGAGGACCTGCTATATCCGGCCGCGCGAGGGGCCGCTCCGCTTGCTGCATCCATCCGCGTGAGGGGCCGCGTCGCCGGGGCCATGCCGTAGCAGAAGAGGTTGCGGGCGCTCGCCGTTGCAGAATTAGAAAAGGGCGCATGTGAGCGTAGCGCGGGCGAAAGCGTCTGACGGCAACAATCTTGGCGGCAAGGTGGCGGAGCCCATGAGCGAAGCGAAGCGTGTAAGCGATATGGGGGGGCGGCTGTCTTGCGGGCGAGCGGAGTGCATGCGGACGGGCGAAGCCTCACGTGCGTACGTGGATAGCCACGTCGACTGCTTGACACCGCCTGGGCTATTTAGGATCTACATGGACCGAATTAAGTAGATTGGGGAGCCAAGAGTGCGATTTCATAGTTTGGGGACCCAGACGAAATCAGCCCAATACTTTAAGGACCGGCCGTGCAATTTACTCTAATCAAATCATATTGTCACTGAAGAATTCCTAGACGATCAGTATGCTAGATACCACGTTGGCTACTGTTGTAACAAGACTTATTCGTACTAATAATGCAATTATATCAAGTACTCCTGGTTACTGACCTTAAGTGCTGAACACTTCACCTTTGCACTGTTGATGAGTAGCATCCAAGTGTGCTATTTTTGAAAGCATAAGTTGATAATCTGCACATAGAAATACACAGCTTGTCTATTGAAAGCCAAACAGAACACACCTCAAGGGTGCATCACCTTCCATTGCAAGCTCTTTTAATCAATAATTATGAGGATGCAATATTATCCCTGAGCATATCACACAAGGAAATTATCTCAGTTTTTGCTTTCAGAGCCACACAAAATCTGTTCCGTGAAAAGCCTCAGGCGCGAGTCCACTATGTCATAGCTATGTCATCCAAACCCAAGACCTTCATGAGAAATGTATACTCAAAGGCTGTCTCATCACAGTGCATGAAACGCCCGCCCTCACCGAAATGGCCACTTTGCATATTAGTTTTGAGAATAACTGACTGGGAACAGGATGTGCATGTGATATCTCTTACTTTTGCAACCCACTTAGCAGCTTCCCAAACTCCTACCCTGCCAAACAAAAATAATGAAAAATTGGCAAGGAAACTAACTAACAATGATCAACTAAGAAGCCTACCCAAATACTGCGAATGCGAGGTGACAGGAAAAGGATAAATAAGTAAAAAAAACACAATTTCACGTGGAAAAAGTATATACATATGATCCATGCAGTCTACAAAAGAATCAATTTACTAGGGCAAAACCTTGTATCATTAAACGAGGCAGTCACCAGGACTGGAGGATAGCATACACCAGGTGCTAAGTTATCATAAGGAGAATAACTGCTGATCGCCTCAAATTCAGCTGGGATATTAGGGTCACCAAACTCTTCATAGTCCAAGACAGTGAGAGGCAAAGTAGGATCCAACATTGTGTTGCAGATATCAAGAAAAGGAACCTGTTTTAAGTAGAAATACATGTTAACCATAAATGAAAACCTGAACAAAATGAGTATTAGCAGAAGCATAAGTAGGGAGAGAAATCCCAGTATGAAATGGATCCATTTACTTGCCCAAGAATTTGTATGTCTAACTGAGCTGATTGACTTACCTTGAGAACTGCAGCAGAAAATAAGTCTGGAAGCATATTAATGACGGCGCCCACTAGCAGACCACCAGCACTACAGCCTATAGCACAAAGACGATTTTGGTGAACAAAGCCTTCCTTTATGAGATGCATACCACATGCAGCAAAATCTTGAATTGATTTTATCTTGTTAGCTTTGGTTCCTGCCATATGCCAAGATAAATCCCCTCCACCCCTACATGATTAGGCTCAAGAATTTAGTGCCTCATATAAAACAGAAGTTATCAATATAAACAAGAATTATCACAACAGAAAATGAATAGAAAATAATTTTATGTTCATATTGCAGAGCATTCCTGATATCAGTAGCTTGGTTGTTCACTTGTTCAGACCTCCAAGCAACTTTGGATGAAAACTAGAATTTCATGACCGCAAAACAACTAGTTTTGTAAATCTGTCCAGTGCCCCTGTAATAAGGAATGTTCAATGGGGAACTACATATGCCAGGACAGTAAATGACACATTGTTTTTGCCTGAGATGGAGCACCATTTATCCCAATATGTTAGCAAATAATGTCAAGGTCCTGCTGGTGGTGGCGGCGGCGGCCTACTTGGGCGGGGGCTGCTGGTGGTGGCGGCGGCGTCCTACTTGGGCAGGGGCGACGCAGTAGGAAGAGGGGAGGGCATCGGCGCTGGGTAGGGAGAGGGAGGCGCAGGAGAGGGGAGATAGAGGAAAACCGAAGCTATTTCTTAGATTGGAGTGGTTACAATGTCCCTATATTTATAGTCCCGAATGGACTTGCATCTCAAGTAAACTAAAGGGAGAAAGTCCTTATAGATTTGGACTTCTCTATCAAATCCCATCTAATCTTATTTCAAAACTGATCCTATTTCTATTTTTCCTATTTCTTTCCTTTATTCTATATATATTCTCCGAGATTTGGACGTTGGCGGCGTGGCGGAAGGTCGCCCCTCCTCTGGTCGCGCCCCCCAGGTGGCGCGGTCGGCCAGGGCATGGCCGGCCTGGGTCCCCCTCCTTGGCCCATCTATTTCGTCTTGGAGGCCCGTACTTAGGCTCGTGACAAACATTATCTTTTAACAGAAACTAAAGGTTAAAATTCATGTACTGCTAAGATTCAGTGGATTAATGGATATGGATCCTTCTTTTTCTGTGGCATGCATTAACTCCTGGCCACTTATGCAGGAATGCTAATCTGCTTGTTAAACAATCTTTTATATAAAATTCTGAAATATGGTGGCAACAGCAGTCACTGCAGCTCTGTAGCCTGAACATACCTAACATCTGCAAATGCAAGAACCCAACCTCGAGAGAGGAGACTTAACCTCTCAGAACACCAGCTTTTGTCCAAATCTTCTCCATAAGCTCCATAACCGTATAAGATCCCAGGTGATTCTCCATGACAATGTGCTTCCCGTGAATACAGGATGACTAAAGGTATTGAAACACCATCATGTGATGTAACTTCAATCCTTTGACATGAGAATAGCTTGGAAAGATCACTCCAACTTTGTGAATTTTCAACAAGATGCAGGTTTTGTTGGATGCTTGAAGCATTGGATTGAAAACCCAGGCTGCCTAGATTTGCAGAGGGGGTAGTTACTTCCTCTTGATGAAGGATGGTGAAAGTCTTTTTTCTCAAATCATAGTCCACAGTTAAGTCCGGTATCTGAGGCACACAAATTTAAAGATTTATAGGAACAAACTTTACAAAGCTGCAAGTCTGTACTGAATGATACATTGGTTAATAAAATAATTAGGAAGTTTAACATGATGAAAAAATATTGTTTAGCTGTACGAGTTCTGTGAAATGCGCCCAATTGTATGGTAAATGAAACTGCAGTAGCAATGTGAGTGGTACAATGGAATTCCCTAAGCTATATGCTCTAATAGTGTTAAAAGAAGCATCAGATGTTGGAACTCAAGAAAAGGAGGTCTAATGATATCTGAAATAAAAAATATTACACAAAATCACGTTTGACATATATAAGCAAAAGCTGTACCACAGGTGATGAAACAACTAGCCGATAAGTAGATGACATGAAATCATTGTTGGATCCAGCAACAATGCTGCATAACTCTGACGGTATGGGGAAAAACCATGGATTGAGATCATCAAGTTCCTTTGGCTCCTGCAGGATTCATAAAGCTATTAAATCTATCTGGTTGCTCTAGACTTGAGATTCACAAAATAGAAGCAACAAGGGATAATGATTAGTTCCTATAATAAAAATCAAATACAGTTTATAATCCACAACTATCATTAATAAACTTAAGACAATCCCAAATAAGTCAGTGCTTGCAACAGATGCTTTATAGTCTATAAGCAGACTCATATGAAATGTCTATGAATTCTATCTCACTAAAACAAACAATATTGCAAATGATACAAGGCAAGAAAATATACCTGAACATCAACATCAATTGGCATATTGATGGAGCAAAAAAGAGGAGTCCCATTCTTTTGAAGATAGAGAACTAAATTATCATGAAAAATGTCCATATCCTGAATGGTGCAGTCCGACGCAGGTAACGTCACAATCTAGAAATAGGCATGCAATCAACAACTTGGGAAAAAAATATCACCCTTAATTTGAAATAATATTGCCTACATAAAAAACTGCTTATAGTTAACAACAATAATTCATCCATAACACAGAGAATTGTATTGAAGTTGTGTATTTCAAAGGCGGATGTGACCGGCATCTTTTGATATTAGAGATATCAAATTATCAATGCTACTGAATAAAAATATCATAACATTACTAATCTAATAGGCACTGCCTACATATCTCTTTTGTGCCCCAGCTATATGAACATATGTTCAACTTCCAAAGTGGAACTAAATCCACCAGTAATAAACCACAGAGAAAGAGAGACACCTGCCATCTATCCACCAGTGACTTTTCAGCCCTACACCTGGCCAGATAGTAGCCTTCAGTTGTCGTTTCGGTATCATTTACAGGAGCATTGGTAAGAATGTAAAAGAACCCGTTGTGGTGCTCCAAAAAGTACTGAACTTTGTCAACACGTTTCCGTATAGGCCATAAGCCTTCTCTTAGATTATCAGATTCGATCACAAAAACCTGCAGACATAGAAGCAAAATATAATAATTAAGTATATATGCAAAAGGCCAGAAGATCAATGCTGCAAAGTGCATTGGGAATCAGAAAAAAGTTCGAAAAGAAACCTTCCTCAGATGATGTCCTAGTGTTAGAATTGACAGTCATATACTTAAAATCTTTTGTGCTTGTAATATCCACGCAACAGTTTGCATCTTTCTCTGTGAAAACTAGAAACCCTGCTTCATCCGATTGCAACTTTTTACAGAAAACCCTGTCACATCACATGTAAGCATTTTTAAAACAGAAAATGATCAAAACTGTTCAAGCTTCATATTAATAGAACATATGCCCTTGGTGGGAGAGAAATTACTGGTTAGGACGTAGAGTGTCATCACAGACAGTGTAAAATAAACTTTCACTGCTGCCAGCCCATGCTAAACTAACTATTCCCTTATCTGGTGGACTAAAGATGACATGCTCAGACAGAATATCTTTCACTTCAAGGGAAAATAGTTCACCCCCAGATGTATCAACTGTATATGCAAGAAACCTATGATCTGGAGAGATTCGACAAGTCCCAATGTGGACATAACCTGCGCAATATCCAAAATAATAAATGTATGCAGACAAGCAACAAACATCCACATTTTGAAAAATCAGTAAACAGGAGCAAATAGGCATGGTGCAGAGGCTGGGTGATTTTTTCCCCATTATCTTTAAAGGAGCAAAATAATCAATGTATATGACACTATGCAGAAGTAGATCAGGTCAAGATAAGCATGTGGATAAACCTAGAAAGTAGCACCTACCATTTTTTTCTGCAACCTTGTTCCAGTCAAGCAACACTTGATCCTTCTCTGAACCAGAAAGGTAATCAAGCAGAGTTCCTACCAGACCACTAGAAGGCCTCAGCTTCCTAGATAAAACAGGGTATTCCTTTCCCTCTGGAACATATTGATAATACAACCTGAATTCCAAAAAAATAAGTTATATATTCTAAGGTCTACCTCTGGCATCTTTTTGAGCAAGTACAACTGTTCATCAAGTACTACAATTCATCATGTTGTACCATTAAATCTTGTACTATAAATATTTTAGCACTGAAAATTAGTGCTTGAAACGCAACATCATATAAAATTTGTTGTTTCCCACTTCCACTACATTTTTTGTTAGCACTAATTTTTTTTTTAATCTAAAGAGACACATAAAAATTGAAAAGCAACAAATTCAATCATATCCATATAGGGTATACAGACCATGCAAAATTTCCTAGGTACAGTTGTGTAAAATGCATTAAGCACACTGTCTTACTCCTGCGACTGTGGAACTAACCAAACAATCCGAATACTTACCATCATACTTTCAAAACTCAAAGCTAAGCTAAACACAGACCTGTACATCTATCCTAGTGCTACTAAGTTGTTAGCATTTGAGTTCAGAAAACAGATGAATATCTAATCGACGAATTAAACAGTAGAAGTGCAAAATCTCATTTCTGACAGTTAATAATAACTAAATACGCACCACTAGACCAACGCCCTTAAATCGCCACAATTTAGAAAATCATGCCAATACATTCCCAGCCATACACATAGAACAAGTGAACAACGGCGCAGCGGCGTACGAACCAAGGGCCCCAGGGCTGAGGCGGTGTGGTGGCGGAAGCGGGCAGCCGGGCGCGCATCTCGGCAGCGAGGCGCGCACGGAGGCCGCCGCCACCTGCCGAGCCGACGAAGGCGTCGGCATACGCGTTCTCTGCGGCGAGGAGGGCCTGGAGGTCCGGGTCGGAGGTGTCGCGCATCCAGTGGTACGGGTCGCTCCACGACCTCCCGTGCGCCGACACATTGAAGGGGACCTTCTTCACCACAGGCAGCGTCGGGAGAGCTGTAGCTCTCGGGAGGTGCGGCTGCGAGGGGTGGAGGGAGCTGCGGCGGCAGGATGCGGCGAAGAGGCGGAGGAACACGCCGGGGCACAGGCGCCGGCGGAGCATCGGCGCCGGTTTGATGGTTTCGCTTTGCACTGGGCTACTGCAGTTTGCTCTTTGGTCTTTGCTGCGGAAGGAGTGGGCTGGGCCTGCTGCGCTGCTGATGCTGGGTTTTGTTAAGGTTCAGGCGTTCAGCGTGTTGTATTTTGAAACTCAAGCAGTACGACCAGGCCTGAAAAGCCCGAGTCCCACGCATGTTTTTTTTTGGTAGTAGTAGCAGCAGCAGCAGCAGCCAGCACTTGTTTATAAAAAAAAGTTATACTGCCTCTATAAAAAAAAATTACCAATTCCAAAAAAAAGGTGCAATTCTTATTTTTTTAGAAGTAAAACGATTGAAAGGTTGATCAAAATATATATAAAAAATGCTAATATTTATTATATAAAATAAGTATTATTAATTTAATTATGAAATATATTTCTTATTAATCATAGTTTGAATATATAAATATTAATACTATTCAATATCAATTTGGTAAAGCTAAGTTAGTTTAACTTGCCCAAGTCCAATAGTTATGTTCTTTTTTGAATGGAAATAGTATATAACAAAGAAATAACAATAAAATTTTCAAATAGTTAAATTCCTATGACGCATACATTCTTTACCGTGTACATAATTAATGATGATACAACAAATACAACCACAATTAGCGTTCAAAATATAAGCGACCTCAAATATCTGTCCCATTATGCATTAATAAAAACATATGTTAATTTGATATATACCATTACAAATGTCACATTTTAAAGATATATCTTTATTATTATTCATGACATTAAAAGTGTGTCACTATAGTTTCGCAAGCGTCGAACATATACCATTACTTACTCTTCAATGCATTTTTTTAGAATTTGTGGTCAAAACTGCCTTTGACTCTTTCGTTCCTCCTAGCGGGTCCTCGACCCTTCTAAACCCTATGAGGCCTTGTTACAATCCTATCTAGGCCCGGTTTTTTTTTTTTGGACAACATATCTAGGCCCGTTGACAAGGGTGAGCGAGGTGAGCACCCGTGCACGGCCCCCCATCTCCGCGCACAACAGGGAACAAGCTTGTTTGGTTGCATATCCAAATGACTGTGTATTGTCTTGTGATGTATAAACCATGCATATTACATGGCACGGTTGTGACAGTAGGTTAGTGTCTTCCCTCGTTGGTCATTAAACAGGTATCCCATTGGTGCATGGTTCTTTTATTTTCATCACTTTTTCAGCGGCCCCGTTCGCCTACTCTTAAACCTGGCGTGATCCGCTTCTTTTTTCATCCAGAATAGTATTTTTCTCTCACAACATTTCATCAAGAACAGTGTTTTTCATCCAGATTCATCCAGAATTCCTCCAGCCGAACGGGGCCATAATGTTGAATGTAGTGCCTCTGTACATACGACCAACCTAGTAGTCTAGCACTAGCACACTACAAATGTTTTTCACATGCCAACATGCAGTCTGATCGCTTGTTGGTTTCAGCCAGGGCTTATCAGGCAGCCAACAGTGTTTTCCTCTCACAGCGAGTCAGCACCAGCCGGGCTTATCAGCCCAGAAACCAACCAGCGAACAGGCTGATGGTCTCGATTTGGGCAACCGAGAAGGTTAATGATTTTCGCCCTGTTCGCTTGTGCTTGTTTGGCTGATAAGCCATGGCTGAAAATACTGTTGGCTGATTTGGTGTGAGAAAAAAATGATATTCGTTGGCTGAAAAAGTACGACTCATAAGCCAAACAAGCCCAAACGAACGGGGCATTTGTTGGAATATCTATCCTAGCAAGCATGCCTTTAATTACATATTGAAGTTATATAATTAATTAATTAATTGTATTTCTTGTTTATATTGTATCTGAATATGGTAAAGTTTAGGCCCCAACGGCATTTGGCTTTTAGGTCCTCAAATTTATGGAGACAGCCTTGCTTGTATTTATCTTCAATAAATAATCCATATGTATTAAGGTGAATTGAAGTGTAAAATTAACTAATTTTCATTCTAATTCACTTCAACACAAAAATTAACATGTAAGTTAAGATGGATGCAAGTAAAAAACAAACCAACCCTAAAGAGATAGCAAACAAAACCTAGTGCCGATTCTATCACCTACACTACCAAGCAAGCAAAAGCCCCCATCTCACTTTTTTGGCCCAGCACTCGGCCTAAACCAGTGATTCAAACCAGAAACGCACCACCGTCGTTCATCCTCACGATCGCGTCACATGCGCTCCACCACCCCGCGCCTACCATGGGGCCCACCGGCCACCGCCATCGGCGCGTTCGCCACCCTTCCCCACACCACACACGACGCTGCCTCACTGTCACTGGTCACTGGGCACCAGCCTCTGTGGCTCACTAGCAGTAGCTAGTACGAGATCAACAGACGCGGCCGCCCGGGCCCATAGGCGATCGGTCCACGGTCCAGCTCTCCAGTCCATCGCATCAACTCGGCGAACCAAATCGCCGGCTAGTGGTGGCAGACCGCCGCCGCTCCATTAATCCCGTTCGGTGTCGTGGCCGCGGAGGTCCCCCGCGGCGGCGGGCGATGGCCTGGACGCCGACACGGCGCACAGCGCCCCCTGCCCGAGGGCCGAGGCGAGGCGAGGCGAGAAGCAGCCAGGCCAGAGGCCACTGCTGCTGCTGGTCCCGCGGCCGCCAAAACCTAACTTCTCGCAGCCGCAGTTCCGCCAGTACTCCACCGACGGGCGGCACCGGGGCGGGTACAGCGATCGCTGGTCCACGAGGCAGTTATCGCGCACGGGCTCGGTACGGCACCGGTAGGTAACGGGTACTAGACCCGGCGGAGCCGCGGTGCCCGTGCCACCAGTGGGGTCGCGGTCGCGGCTGCCAGCCTGGCCCCGCCGTGCGCGCGCCACGGACGCGTACGGCACCGCCCCGCACAGTACAAATTCTCGGCGGTTGCTGCTTCTGGCCTGTCGCTCCCTGGCTCCCCGCCGGTCGCCACTGTGCCGCGGTCAAAGAAGAGTGACGCGTGCGCTCGGGAGCCACCCTCACCAACTCCACAGTCGACACCACCTCACCTCACCAACTCCGCAGTCGACACCACCTCACCTCACCTCCCCACGCACGCACCGCCCGACGCGCGCGACCACGCGCCACTGACGCGTCGGCCCGGCGGTAAATAAAAGCGGAGCCGTGAGATGTTTCGCTCGTTGTTTCAACCAGACTTACCACTGACTCAACGGTATTTTTCTCTCGTAAGAAATCAGCCTCGGTCGAACTTACCACAAACAAACCAGCGAATAGGACGGTTAACCGGACCGGACCTGCTCCACCGACCCGGCGCCGTGCCCATAAACTCGATCGAGAGCGACCACCAACGCTAGCAGCTCATCTATCCCACACCATACGCCCGCGCGCCGCGACGCTCCCTAGGCTCCGAGCTGGGAAGGAAGAACTCGCGTTGCTCGCTCGCTCGCCCACACGGCGCCACGCATGCAGGAGCCCAGGCGCCGGCCCGTGCCGCCGTTCGCGGGCGTCGACCTCCGCCGCCCCAAGGGCTACCCCGCGCCGGCGGCGGAGGAGGAGCCGGCTCCGGCGCCCGGCGGCGACCCGTGCCCGCGGTGCGGGTCGCGGGACACCAAGTTCTGCTACTACAACAACTACAACACGTCGCAGCCGCGCCACTTCTGCAAGTCGTGCCGCCGCTACTGGACCAAGGGCGGGTCCCTCCGCAACGTCCCCGTCGGGGGCGGCACCCGCAAGAGCAGCAGCTCCTCGTCCTCGTCCTCGGCGACGTCGACCTCGGCCGCCGGCGCCGCACCCAAGAACACGAAGCGGTCCAAGAACTCCAAGCGCCGCCGCGTCGCCCCGGCCCCGGACCCCGCCGCCCCCGGCGGCACGGACGCCTCCACCGCCACCGCCACCGCTACCGCCGACGTCGTGAACACGGCACCGTCGAAGGAAGCCGCAGCAGCGACGATTGCCGCCTCGGAGAAGCCGACCGCGACGGAGGAGCCCGCAGCAGCGGTTGTCGCCATGGAGACGAAGCCGCCAGCCGCGCCTCCGGCGGCCGTCGTCAGCGGTTTCACGGACGACACGTCGACGGCGCCCGGGCTCGGGCTCGCAGATGTTGGCAGCGTCGGCGGCGCCAAGGAGCTCCTGCCGGACCCGAGCCACTTCGAGTGGCCGTCGGGCTGCGACCTGGGGTCCTACTGGGGCACTAGCGTGTTCGCCGACACCGACCCGGCGCTGTTCCTCAACCTGCCGTGAGCCCGTGACGCCGCCACCATGGCGCCCATGGTTAACTGATCAACAGAGCACGCCGAGCGTCAGGCACTTGAAGCTATAGGCGCTGCAGTTTCCTGAGCCTACTGTAGCGATCTCTACTCGTCTACTCTGACAGTCTTTTACACTAGTGTTTTGCTGGTTTTAAATCGCCCCGCTCTGTACTCCAATCTAGTGAAGGCTAACATGGGATAGCCGGGCTCTGCATGAATCTTTGCTTGTTTTGGGGTACTCCTTGTTTTGAGCTGATCATGGTGCTTTTTGAGGCCATGAGAGTCACAAGAACAGATGCAAGGAGAACGACGGCGAACTCCGAAGTCGTGTCTTAGCAACAAGTGTTGGAGGCATATATTCTAAAGCCGGCCACACATGTCACGCCAGTTCTTGCAAACGCTAAACTAGTATTATCGTTTAGCCACCACCATCGATCGACGGTCATGTTCCAGTTCGGTCGCTAGAAACCTACTCGTAAATAAATTGCTAATCCGTCCCAGAGCCGCAGAGCAACACGACGGCATGGAGTCGATCGTGTCGTGCATCCGGCCGAGCCGCCGCCGAGATCACGCCACAGGCCGAGAGAATATTATTCGGCGGTGGTACTCGTAGGGCAGAAAGGCTGGCTCACGTACAAGGGCACGCGCAGCTCCAATGATGCGGCCGGGCGACTAGGCGATCCGAAAATGTACGTCAACAAAGTGATTGGTAGTTTTGTTTGGCACGCACATACGTACTCCTACGGGGCATGGACGTAGTACACTCGCGCAGGATGGGGCTCCTGGTGGTGGAACCCAAGGTTCAGTTTAGTTTATAAAAAATTTTGCAAAATTTTTCACATTCTCCGTCATATTGAATATTTGACACATGCATGAAATATTAAATATAAATAAAAAATAAAACTAATTACACAGTTTAGACAAAATCCAACTAATTACACAGTTTAGACGAAATCCACGAGACGAATCTTTTAAACCTAATTAAACTATGATTGAACACTATTTACCAAATAACAACGAAAACGCTATCGTACTCGTTTTTCGAAATTTTTTTGACCCAAACAAGCCCCAAGCCAAGCCGGGGATTTGTTCGGTTGGACGTCGGCGTCGCGGGGGCTTTTCGAAATTCCGGGCCGCGGCGGGCGCCGACAACGCCTTGGTTCCGAGCGCGACGCCTCTCGATTCCGACGGCGACGGGCCGTCCTGCGCGCCGTGCCAGGGACGGGTCAGGGTCAGCCCGTCAGTCGCCGCCCTGTACTGCGGCCGTGACGTGTGTGTCGGGGTGCGATTCGTGCCGCCCGCTTGCCCGCTTGGCCTCGGCCCCGCGGCCGCGGTCCACGCAAGCGACCCCTAGGGGCTAGGACGCGTCCTCAGGCTCTATTTGCTTGAGATGGCTGCCGGCCATTAGCCACGCCGCAGACCGTGGGTCCGTGGCTTGCCACAGAGTGGCGTAGAAATTCCGTGCGGTGACATTACAGAGAGCAAAAGCTCTCCTGTGGTTGTAAGTTGTATCCTCAACCAAACAACCAAGCAATGCACAGAGAACTTGTGACGCGTTGGTTGTCAAGCTGAAACAGGGAACCAAACAGCCCCGTTAAAAGCTATTGTAAATTATGAGCTATAAAAGCTACTGTGAATCATATGTTGTAAAAAATATATAAACTATTTGGTTAAAATAAGTATAAAACTTACCTCATCTATCTATCTCTCTTAGAACAACTATGAAAAAGCTCTTTACTTTCATCAATTTCGGAAAGTCGAAAGTCAAAAGCAGAGTTTAAGGTGCTTCAAAACTATACTATAGAAAAGTAGCTGTTTCTGAAAAGCAGGTTTAGGTTACACCCTTTTGGTTGACTTTTTGACTTCTTGAAATAAGAAGCACCAGGTAAGAGACCAACGAAAAAGACCTTTAAGAGCATCTCCAAGAGATTAGTCAAATCATTTTCTAAAGGTTAATTTTACTATTATTGAAGGAAAAACATGTCCAACAAACTCTGTAAATGACTCTCCAAATTTAGTGGCTCTACATCCCATCTCATTCGCTCTCTACTTTTTGATAGCCTACATTACTACCCATATAGACTCTTGGTTTTTACAGAGTATGGTGAAATACTCTAGTATTTTTTTATCAAATCTATTTTAGAGAGTGACTAAATCAGTAAATTTGGCTAGTCTTTTTTGGCTAATATCTTAGAGAAACCGAACTTATTTAAAAAAACATACCGGTATCTTCAATGGCTCCCTTTTGAGGGATAGACTGAAATAAAACCTCCTAGCTACCATACATATGGTAGGTGAAGCCAAGGCAGACTGTAGTTGTGTCAAACAGGAGCTAAGTTTCAAATACCAGTTGCTATCTTCGTTTTTAAGAAACATACAATTCTAGTTCTATTTTTAGTCAAACTATCAAGAGTTTGATGGATTTTATAGAAAATAGTATTAATATCTATGATTTTTGGTATACTATAAAAATACATTTTATGGTGAATATAATTACAATTATTTGATATCTAAGCATTGATACTTAATGTATAAACTTGATCAAACTCAAAATAATTTGACTTATACTATGCTAGAACTACAGTTCCTTTTAGGATTTGTTTGTTTGGTTTTCCCACGAGCTTTTGGACCTCTCAAAAATCAAATAGCTCCCATAAGCCAAATGCCATAAAAGGCTTTTGATTTCCAAAAACAGTTTGATTTTTGAAAAGTCAGAAAGCTAGTGGTCTTAAAAAGACTAAAACCTCAAATAAATAGGTCTTAGTGCAGAAGGACCGAAGAGTAAGAAATAAACTTGGACCCCAGAACTCAGCAAAGGGTGTTGGGTGCCGGCCCCACTGAAAAACATTCTTAATCCATGCAACTTATTCATAATTTTTAAAAGAAAAGCAACGCAAAAATTCGCTGATAGGCGGCGTACTACTTTTAACCATACAGTGGGCCCACTACACACGTAGTGCTAGTGTTGTAAGCGGCATTCGGACAGTTCCACGGGTCGTGCGGGATAGAATCGGTCCACCACTCCCGTACCCCGAACCACCTGACCAGACCTGAGAGGGAGACCGTGCTCCCCTCGCCGCCGCTTCCCCCGCCGGAGAAGATGGCCGAGAAGCCGGCGGTGCCCACCTCGAGGACGAGGATCCGAGGCGGCCTCGCGGCCTCAGCTCCCTCCTCCAGGTCTCCCTTCCCTCGATCTGCATTTCCACCGCCGTTTCGTTTTGAATCTTTTTGAACTCGGTTCAGCTGTTCGTTCCGCATTTCCTGATGCAGGAGGCTGTCTTCGATATCGTTCACCGCGGCCCCGAATCAGAGCAAGAAGGTGCGGTTCCGCTCGTCCCTTTCAAAATACCTGCAACTTTGCTCTGCGCTTTTCTAGCTTTTGAGATCAGGTGTTTTTTTTTTGGGTAGTAAGTGGGGTTCCTCTGATCGATTTTCAAATCTTCTTTTGTTTTCTGCACTAGTAGTGCCACAGAAGTTGTTGTGATTGGGCACGGAACAATGCATTGTTGAAGTAGAGTGAGGAATTATCTTTTAATAGTGTACAGTGCGGTTACCAGAAATGCAAGCCGTGGTACTACTAGTTGTTGTTGATATCTACTCCAACATCTCTATGTGCAGGTTCCTGACCCCCCAAAGGCCGTGAGGCCAACAAGAGCCACGCCTACCAAGAAGCGGCCACAAGTGGATCAGGCTCAGAAGCGGAGACAAGAGATTACTGCTCTCCAGGAGCAGCTTAGTGGCCTGCAAAGGAAGTTGCATGAGAAAGATGAAGCTCTGAGATCCGCGGAGAACTTGATCGGCCGAATTACTGCAGCGAATGAAGCAGTTGATGGCTTGAGGAGCCAGCTCTCCGAGAAGGAATTACTGATTGAATCTACTGGTTCGGAGCTACATGGTGCTAAGGTGAATTAGGATTTGGTCAATACCTTTTGCAGTGCAATACATCGAATATACTGTTTTCTTTGGAACTCTTTCACACGAGAAAGCACCATTCTACCTATCACATTATTGGCTTTCAAAGTTAGAGAAAATTGCTTTTCTTTTGGCATTGCTCACTGTTGAATATACTTTGCAGCCCAATTGAGGGCTAATTTAAATGGTCATCCTGAAAATAGTGCCATTATATGTACACCATCTTTCATAAACCCATGATGATCCCACACTAGTTAGTCCATCTTTGTATTATCATTTCATGATTGATGTTGGACTGCAATGGACAAAGGAACTTCTAGTGCTATAGTTTCAGGCTCTAAGTACACTGTAGCTGGACATTCAGTGTTGTTCCATGGTTTAGACAATCCATTTTCAAATACTAAAGGGGGCCCCATTCATAATTCTACTCTTCCTGTATGTTTCCTGAAGTTTGTTGCTAAGCGATCCTGTTATTCATGTTTGAACCGCTCTGTCCATTATGATATATTTGTTGCTGACTTTTGTGCTTATGCTTGTTCATGCTATAGATTGCTTGCATCATGTGAAATCACCTCCTGTAACCTTTATTTATGTGACACATAACTAAAGATGCTCTCTAAAATCACATGTTTAATAGCAAAACTGTAGTAACTTGTTTAACTTCCATTTATTGTAGATCATGCTAGCAGAGAAGCAGGCAGCACTAGAGAAGTTAGAGTGGGAGGCAAATGTGTCGAGCACGAAGGCGGAAGAACTCCAAGTTGATGTAGCTTCTATGGATGCTGAGGTTTCTGCTCTTATGAAGTTGTTCAGGAAAATAACAGAGAATGACAAAGCCCCTCCACCCAGGGATAGAACTGATGATTTGTCTTTGGAATGCGAGCCAGTTCAACTTGATGTAAGTTACTATTTTTTCCTGGTTGAAGTTCCGTTTCAGTCTTTAGCATAATAGTTGTGCGATTTTTCTTTCTTGTAATACTAGTTTACTCTAACCAGCGAAAGCATGCATATATTTATGTTTTATTTCTGAATTCTAACTTGCTGCCCCTTTTGACATGTGGTAGGACACAGTTGATGATATCGATGCTGAGAAGATGGAGCAGGAAATGTCAGCCTACGCCTCAGCTCTAGCTGCCGCGAAGGAGAACCCTACCGACGAGTTCATGAGAGCAGTAACCGAAGCAAGGTTAAGACTTCAAGCCGTTGTACTCTGACCAGACTGAAGGGAGTGTATAACCAAAGCAAGTGAAGTCTATACCCTCGCTGATGACTGTGTTTTGCCGATGGCGCCCCACTCCCAGCTGACTGTGCTCGCTCAGGGCCTTGTCTGTGTTCTTCTCCCACTTTGGATCTGATCACGGCCGCCAGTGAGCTTGTTGTAACTTGCAAGGCTATGAACCGTGTTGTACGTGACTGAACCTCCTTAATACTAGATGGCATCGTGTACGTCCTGTTCGCTTGCCTGATAAGTCATAACTGAAAGTACTGTTGGCTGATTTGTTGTGAGAGAAAAATATTGTTTGGTGGCTGAAGCCAAGCGAACAGGGCGCAAATCGCCGGCTAGTGGTTGACGGCCTGTGTTGACGGCCGCACGTTCTTGTTTTGTTGCGGTGCAGCCCGTGCTGCAATCTCATATATAATTCACTACCTTTGCCTTTTTTTTTGTTACCCTATAAACAATGGCTAGCGCACGGACGTCTGGACAGGGCTAGTGTCCGAACGGCGGACGCTGGCAACTACTGCGCCTGCTTCACGTCGGGGCCCTGCGCCGCTTTGTGTCCTGCGACCGCACCGTGTCTCGCGCTCGCACCATGGCCCACACCGCTTCGTGTTTCACGCCCGCATCGTGGCGCGCCCTCCACACTAGGCGGGCCCAACAGTTGCAGCAGGTGGCTGCTGCATATGGGTCCTACAATATGTGCAACACCAAGATCTATTTTTGCAACACCTAGATGAAACACTTGTAATATACGTTCGAAACAATTAAAACACTTGCAACATACGTCTGAAACACCAGGAAAATACGTTTGTAGCCATTGCAAAATATATGCAACATCCAGATAAAACACTTGCAACATACGTATGTGTCGGTGTTTTGGAACCGGGGGTCCCTCAACCAACGAGTGAATTTGTGCTGCGTGCCCCTAATCCCGGATGGTGGCGCAAAGAGACACAAGGTTTATACTCGGTTCAGCAATCGAGGCCCTACGCCCATCTCGAGAGATCGATCTTGTATTCCTTGCACCGAGTGCTCGTAGTAGGGGGTTACAAGCTAGGTGAGAGAGGAACTAGCCCCGTGTCTTGGCGAGTGTGGAAAGGGCTGCTTGAGGCGTTGTTCCCAAGCAACAGAGGAGTGCGTGGTTCTATCGGCGTGTTCGCCTTTCCCGGCCCTTCGAGAATGGCCCTCAGCCCTCCCTTTTATACTCTAAGGGAGGACGGGACGCGTGCATGTGGTGCTACATAGCGCTTCAGAATGGGGTGGCGGTCCGAGCCTCGTAGTCGGCCACCGTTGTGGTATGGTCGATGGAGTGGCCCCGCCCTTGTCGTGCGGAAGTGACATGCTGGTCGACTTCGGTCTTGTGCGTCGTGGGGCTCCAGACTGCTTGATGCGTGACATACGGGTCGCGTGTAATGACGTCAGGGAGCAGCTGCTCAGAGATGCCGAGGCCGAGCCATCGAGGGGGCTCGGTGGTCATGGACCCTCAGTCGCCGAGCCCGTGAAGCAAACTGTCGAGGCCTTGGGGAGTTATTGGCCCCGGTATCGATTCCGAGGCCACAAGATGGCTCAGACGTGGCTCCCCATGCCGCGTTGTCCTTGGAGCAGGAGTTGGCAAAGACAAAGGAGGCATGGGTGTCAACCATGTGCACGGTGGATAGCATAGTGACGGGTAACCCCGCCATACTGGGATGCAGTCATCGCGTGATGACGTGAGGGGCCGTGGCTCAGAGGTGCCGAGGCCGAGCCATCGTGGGGGGCTTTCGGTGGTCATGGACCTCAGCCGCCGAGCCCGTGAAGCAAACTGTCGAGGCCTTTGGGGAGTTCATCGCCCTGGCATCGATTCCCGAGGCCACAAGAAATTTCAGACGTGGCTCCCCATTTGCGTTGTCCTTGGAGCAGAGTTGGCAAGATAGTGAGGCATGGGCGCCAACCATGTGCACGGTGGTTAGTTAGTAGATGGCGGGTAACCCCGCCAGCCCCGCCTCCTCGTCCCCATCTGCCATTCTCTTGACATGCGGGCATGCGGTTGTTGTCGTGGGCAAGCAGCTATTGAGTTGATGCGACACGACGCTTTTGCAGAGGGACGGAGAAGGAAGAGGTAGCGGAGTGTCGCCGAGCCCGCCTTTGCGCGAGACGGAGGGTCGGTGGCCTCGGCCGAGGCCTCTGGCGGGGAATACCGAGGCCCGCGGTGAGGGGGGGCCTCGGCGAATCGGAGAATCGGTGAGGTCCCATGGTGATGAGGCCCGGGCGAATCGGAGAATCGGCCGAGGCTCAGGTGGTGATGAGGCCTCGGGCGAAGTCGGAGAATCGGCCGAGGCTCATGGTGATGGGGCCTCGGCGAGTCAAAGAATCGGCCGAGGTTCACATGTGATGGGGCCTCGGTGAAGTCGGAGAATCGGCCGAGGCCAAGAAATATTAAATGGTTTCGATCTTTCTTAAATCTAAGCAGTCGTTCTTTGGATCTTGCTTAGGGTACCCCTTCTCACGGTATCCGACAGATGAAACACCTGAAACATACGCTTGCAACATGCATGTATATGCAACATCCAGATCTACTTTTACAACATCAGATAAAACACTTGCAACATACATTGAAAAAAGATAAAACATTTGGGACATATACTTGAAAACACCACTACGACATATGCAACATTCAAATTTGCTTTTGCAACATCAATATAAAACACTTGCAACATACCTGTGAAACATTTGAAACGCTTGAAATAGACGCTTGCAACATGTAGTTTCAGTGCAACATCTCCTTGCTGCTTGGGAGACTATATCCTTGTCGGCATGCGGAGTTCAATCCTGGCCGTCGCGGGCTGCACGCGGGCAACTTCCGCCCCAGCGACGGCGAACTGGGTAGGCGAGCGTGAGATGTGTGTGGGCGGGCTCTACACCCGGCCGCAGCAAGCTGTGCAAGTGGAGGCGGAGGTCTTCCTGGTCGCTGACCAGGCGTCCGGCCCCCGTGGTGGAGGCGGCATCGGTCTCCGTCACCACGGGCGGGCGGCACAACACGGCCGGTAGAGCTCATGCGTACGCGGATAGCGGCGGCTCTCGATGCTCGTGCGTATGTGGACGGCGGTGCACTCGTGCGGACGCGGGCGCTAGCAGAGCTCGTACGTACACGACCGAAGGGTAGGTGGTTCGGGTGAGCCGATGCGAATGGGTAAGATAAGATGTCGCTCTTTTTTCTTTTTTATATTTTTTAGAGAAACCGTGTATACTGGTGAGGGGAGCATGCCTGTGGCCCGGTCCGCGGCCCAGCTACCCACATCCAGACTGACCTACATGAAACGGACTTCCGTGGTGGAGCATCAGGGATAAACAAAACAGGAACTTCGACGATCATTTGATTCCAGTCCTCCGAGGGCCTGTTCGGTTGGTATTAAAGCCGACTGATAAGTCGACTGAAGCTATTTTGTTGTGAGAGAAAATTACTATAGATTCTTACTGATAAGTCGGCTAATAAGTTCAGGTTGAAGACCTGACGGGCCTACCAAGTACAATGGTCTAGAAATTATGCCTACGATGACCGATGACCGGGGCAGAACATGCGCAGCACTGGAGCCCATAGGGCCATAGGGGCGACGCAGTGGCGACCGGACGCTCCCGGGCCGGCCACCGGCCTGCCGAGTGCCGAGGCGGCGAGGCCGATGCTCCACCGGAGTCCCAAGACAACCGGTCAAGCACCATGTTCTTCTCAGTGGTTCATCGCCAGAAGCTTTCTTCTCTCCTATCAGGCGGCGGCGGGGGTGGTGTCGTGGTCGTGGTGCCATGGAATTATGGCACGCTGGTAAAATAAGAAAAATAAGAAAACAATTACAAGGAGTTGAAAATCATCTGGAAAAAATCTTCCCAGCTTTCACACTGTTCTTTGAGGCTGAGGATGCTTTGCTTTTGTTGTCCCTGACAACTTCAATTTAGGTGTGTGTAGCTGGCTTATACGAACTGGTCTCTGGAGTTTCCAATCTTCCACATCTCACTGGCGATGTTCCTTTCCCCATCAGGGAAGCAGCAAGCATCTTCGTAAGACGAAACTTGGAAAAACCTGACTACAGTTTTGAAGAATATATGTATGGCAATATTAAGTTATTAACTTATCAGACTGGCACTACAGAGTTGAGGCAGTTACTATTGTGTCAAGTATTTTACTTGTTAAACAAGATATGGATCATTAGTGCAGATTTAACAAATGAGCTTTGCTGTGGTACCTCTAAATGACCGTGGACCGTCGATCTTGATGTCTATAGTCACATATTACCTCCTAAGAGGTAATAAGATAAATATATATATTTATTTAGAGAAATAGGAAAGTAAGCAAAATATTAAGTAAAATATCTATCAATTGGATCGGATCTAACGTACATGCAACCACATGCGTTTGTTTGGTTGGTTCCATTTCTTTTTGAAGTCCTAACGTGACGTGTGATGCTTTTTTAATTAATTGACTTATGTGCAGTTGCAATTGATGTCAAGGTTTGTCGGGTACCTTAGAACGGAGTACCCCAAGCAAACATCAAAATAAAGCTAAAAGGTAAGCCCCTCACCTGCCACGACCGAGCCCTCCTCCACCTCGCCTCGAGCCTCGAGCAGGAGGTCTCGGAACAAACTCCGCCTCGCGCAAGGCTCCCCAGGGTAGGTCTCGGCAGGGGGCGCCGAGCCTCGGCAGGGGATGCCGTCTCCGTCTCGCCCGAGGCTATCCAGGGAAGACCTCGGCAGGGGTACATTCTCCGTATCGCGCGAGGCGTCTCGCGCAAGGCCTCGGCAAGGAACCTGATCTCCGTCTCGCGCGAGGCCTCATTCTCCGTGTCACTCGAGGCCGGCTCGTCCGCGGTCCGTCGCCCCCCGCCTCGGCCGACCCTCCCAACAACTCGTCATGTCTCATTAATGCTTCAACCACTCCCGCAATCTCAGCCGGACGGTGGCTCAACGCCACAGGATGGCCGACGCGACCCGAGGTCGCATCGTATCCTATACCGGCCGGGACAGGTA